TGAGAGCTTTAGTGGGAGCTGGGTGAATTTTAATAGAGTTCTGCAGGGTATTCCATCGCCTCTGGTCCCACGGCTCAAAGATCAGAGAGAATTTTAAAGCATGGTGTCCCTCAGCCTCTTTTACACTCACTCTCTCCCTCTCTTCCTCCTTTTTTTCTCCTCCTCTCCTCTTCACGTTACACACTCCCTCTCTCTTTTTCTCATTTCAAACTCCCTTCTCTCCAATCCTTTCCTTCCCTCTCGGGCTTTTGTCTCTCTCTTAATCCCTCTCTCTGTGTCTCACACTCTCTGTCGCTTTCTCTCTCCACTCTGTCTCCCTGTGAAATTTGTATCAGAGCCACTCGAGGCGTAATTATTGCTAAGCCTCTCTCAGTTCCCTGGCACAGAGAACAACTCATGACTCTCGGCACAAAAAAACTTGCTACTGAAGGACAAAAATGCTGTGATAAACTTTTAAAATCATGCACAATGGCTGACAAAATGTTTGGATAGTTTTTTTTTTATCTCCATGCACAGAGATTATACAACAGAAAGCTCATTTTCTCTCTGCCCCAGAGCCATTCAAAGGGTTTTGTACTTTTCTTTTTTTTTTTTTTTATAACTCATATCGTAGTTCTACAAACTGGAAATTTATGGAAGATGTAACACATTTATAATTCAGACACTATATTAACATAAGTTCTACCACTCCTGGTTTGTATCAGGGCACATGTGGGCGTAAAGATGCAAGCTCCAGGATGATCGACCAATCCTCAAAGAGCAGAAGTGAGAGGGAAATATCAAAATGGGAGACTCAAACATAAGAGAAAATGTCAAACATGGCAACATTATCCACAAATAGCTGAATACGCAAATTAAAAAGGTTAAAGTTTGGCTGTGATTAGAGCCTTTTGTATCATCTGAGCGTGTCCAGGTGAGAAAGTTGGCAAGACACTGGTGACGATTACTAATTCATAAGGATTAATGGTTGCTATTTAAAAACCCACCATTCTTGGGAGAGCAGACCGAACGTTGAGTCTTCCTGCTGGGACTTCAAGACAAAATAGGCCCCTGGCTAATCTTACATGAACACAGCTCATAAAAATTCAGCTCCACAGCACTTTGGCACTCCAGAATCTAAAGATGTGTGTAACTTAAGTTATGTTTTCAGTATTTTGTCCCTGAGTAACACAACTGGCTTGTAATATGAGTGACCCTATTAGACCTTCAGTCATCATCAGTCGTATCAACAAGCTTTAGGTGGAACCCTTCTGGAAGCTTTGGTTTATTTAGTTTTTATTTAAATGTATTGAGGGTTATTTTGTATTTTTATAATTACCTGAAGACAATGTTAATTCCATAATGTTTAATACTTTTCCTCAAATTAATTTACCTGGTCAATCAAGTTGTTGGCGTCCATGTTCCTGTTGCCTAATACCTTTGTTTCTACGGCTTAAAAGACTCCAGGTCTCATTTTTACCAAGTGCAATTAATATGTTAAACAACAATCAACTATTTGTTGCTCTTTTTACACTTGAATTGCACATTTGCACACCTCCACTTGACACTTTAATAACTTGAATTTCCTTTCTGGTATGGGCTCTTGGCTGATTTTATTGCACTGTTTTTATTTGGTTTTATATTTTGCTGTGTTGTCTGATTTATTATTTTTTTCGTTTTGGTCCATGTTTTATGGTGATGTTGTCCTTGTGTTTCTTGTCTTCTGTGTGCTCCTGTTGCAACGCAAATTTCCTCTTGTGGGACAATAAAAAAAAGAATTTGAATCTTAACCACATAAACCCAGAGCATACAGCTTTAGTAAACAACTTCCCATAACCAGGAGGTAATCAACATGAGATAAATAGCATAGTACGCTGCCATACTGTATGTGTACAATATCCATAAGTCTAAAAGGCCCTATAGATGTTCTCCACATCATTTTACTACAACTGATGGGGGTCAAAAATACAGTTAACTATCAAAGTATACAGATATTTTTTTTTACCTCAGTGAAGAGATTTGTGTATGTCATTTTTTTCTCTCTCTCATCTCTTCTCACAGGTCTCAGCAGGAAAGATGTGATATCACACACTCGAGTGTCTGGTTATTTTGTACACCTGACCTCCCTGTAAGCCTGTAACAAGCTGAAGCCTCTAATACCTGTGTGACATTGAGCTGATAAAGCAAAGTACTCACAATAGTATAAGCATCATTAAAAAGTTGCATCATTGTTTATCTTTAAGTTTGATTACCTCCCATGACCTTTGGCCCTAATGAGTTCTCCTACACACTGGGATTCATGCTTCATTTTCTCAGTGTCAACAACCCAGTATTGACGGGAGATGGAGCCATGGAAAGTAGATGCTGTCTGAGGATGAAAAGAGAAGTCTTTTAGTAATGTGTGTACAATGAATATATGTCATTAGCTGCTCTAGATTCATTTTTGAGATACAAGTAAAAGCAAATACAAATTTGTTATTGTGTTTTAATCAAAGTGATGTTCTTAAACACTGCTGGAAATACACATAACAGCTTCAGCCCATTTCCATTTACTGTAGCTTGGCCACAACATGTTTGAATCAGTATTGTCCAATGTCGCCTCCGTGTGGCAACTACTGGTAAAGCACTTAAAGCAAGTATTGGAAACAATTTTGCCAGAAGATGTGTCATCCATATAAACCACTATTAATACTTGTAAAGCAAAAAATGAATTTACAAGTGTACATGAAATAAATCAGTAGCAAACGTTAGATTCAATGACATCCTGAAAGTGGAGTTTAGACGTTTTCTTGTCATAATTTGTAAGTGAAAGTTGTCAGTTGTTCTGGTCAAAACAGTGCCTGCAGGCTGAAAGCCAAATATTGACATGAATGTGTGCATCAGCGTGCGTGTTGTATCAGAGTGTGTAAAGCCCTTTACAGTTCTTTAAATTCAAATTAATCCTTTTAATCCTGTATTCATTGCAGCTCAGCCACCCACAGTCTCAGCCATGACACAAAGAAAATTGATTTCTTATTTCATTCTAAAAATCATGAACTTTAAACAGCTTTAACTCTGTCCCAACGGTTACAATGGACCTTCATTACACTGCTTTTAATGTTTTAATTTAACTCAATACACACGTCACACTCATTTGTCCTCTTGTTACTTCCATACAACATTCAAATATTTCCTCTCTGCACAGCTGTCGTCAGAAGGTCGTTAAGAAACATGTTTTACCCCTTTCATAGCAATTCTAGAGTCTGTGGGGGCCCTGGGCAAAATCAATTGGGGGGAACTCCAACCAGTGTTCATCACCATTATCACTGCCAGAGTCCCAGAGTCTCCTTGTCCTCTTTTTTCCCCGTTTCTTTTTTTTCTCCTATAGACGGTTAATTCCTCTTCCTGTTGACTTACTATGACAAACTTCAGATTTCACAGGAACAATGCATGCAACGCTTAGCAGGGCAAAAGGAGTGAGTGCTGTTAGAGGGGGGCCCCTTAGGGAGGTTTCCTACTGTCATTGCAAAATTTGCACATTTTGGGACACTGCTTCGGGTTAAGTTTGAGTCCTCAGGAGCCCCCTACTGGTCTGGGGTCCCACAAGTTGTCTGCCATGTCTGTTGATAAGCAGCACTTCTGTCCCCTTTGGACCAGCAGTGAAACCAAGGCTTTAAATGAGAATCTGAAAGAAGAAGCATATATGGAATATTTTCTTTAATCTTCTACAGATATCTCCTTAAGGATCTGTGTAATTTTGTAAAATGCTAAGTCGGCAGCTTTATTTACATTAGGTTTATCAAAGTTTTTTTAGTTCAAATGTAAACACTAGTTTATTTGAGACCATTTATCAAATATGATTGCAGCTTCATATTTTTGCATCACACATGTGCCGGTCCAACATAACACCAAACATCCATCTGTTAATTACAACAACAACAACACAGTGGACAAATCATCACTCTTTTTGAAGTATTTGACTATATTTATTAATAATTCAAGTTTTCAAGCCAATGCAGAATGATACAAAATATGTAAATAATTTAGTGTTGTCTTCAATACAAGAATATTATCACATTGTGCCTCACATTTAAAATCTGACATGAGCCAGTGCAACTAAAAATGCCATTCAGACAATCAGTGGGTCTTTGATTTGTCGCCCTGAGTCACAACTATTACAAGCCCTACCCCCCCAACACAGAAAGAATAGCATTTCATGTTCTTAGGAAAGACACTGAACCTAAAATAGCTCCAAAAAGCCATGGGTTTGTGGACATGTGTCAATGTGATCAGTTAGATCCTGATGGGTAGATAGTCAAAGCAGCCGCTGACATCAGTACATGTGACATAAACACTTTATGAAGAAGAATAAATAAGAGCTATATCGCTTCAGTTAACTTTTCATTTACCTTTTAAAACAGAAAGTTAAGTCTTTGTTTCAATTCACCAAGGCCCAAAGGTGGCAAAACAATACTTCTCCAACTTTGTAGGCACAGAGAACAGACACCAACAAGCCTTGGACTTTTTTTTTTCTCTCTTCGATCTGTTTGCTTAAGAAGAATCACAAAAGTAAGACAAAACATCATCAGCAAACAAACATTTGAGTCATTTGTAATAACTTAAAAATAAGAAACAATTTGTTCAAGAATAAGCTGCAAAGTTGAGAATCTAATTATATAAATTCTGCTTTCAAGACCCCATGTTCAGAACTCTTATCTCTTAATGGTGTGTGCACAATTCATCTGGAACTATACGTTTCCAAGAGACAGTCATCTAAAATCAGACAACTGCACAGAGAATATATGGCCTACTGTGGTAGACACTCACAGTCGGCAAAGTTAAAAGTTCTTGATCCTTCACGAGGGCTTTTTGTATTATAAAAATCAATTACCGATATAGTATTATGGCATAGGACACGTTCAGGTCTGAATTAAATGATGAAAAGTTTTTGGAAACATTTGACAGCACCATTTCAAGCTTAACCTTCTTCAAAATGATCAAAAACCTTCTGAAGGCTTCCTGACAGCTGATTTGATGATTCAGTTGTCCAAAAAAAAAAAAAGGAAGAAGCTTCAACTAAAAGTTGTAGGGCTGGATCTTTTTTCTTCAATGTGCCAGGCCTTCAACCTGTTTGCATCCAGTTTGACAGTGCAGGTTAAGTCCAAGAAGAGATCTGTGACCTGATTTAAATATTTCAAGCACCATGTCATTGCACTGCCAAGTATTGAAAAAGTCTGCTGCAGGAGGAGAGGCTATCTGCCCCCTCTACGCTGGACAACGATAGTCCCGGCCACGATGTCATACACAGTCCTGTTGTGCTGGAAGAACAGGAGAGTGATAAAGACGGGGAAGAGGAAGGCAATGGAGAAGTTCTTATTGAGAGACCGCACGGTAGAGCTGGGGAAAAACAAAAGAAATTACAGAGACTACATGAGACATTGGTTAGTGAATAAAATTTAAAAAAAGCTCATTTATAGTCAAATCTAGATTCTTCTCCCAATTTAAAAAAAAAAGTTACTATTTATTATGTGATCACTCACGCAGAGAGGGACACATTAGACGCAGGGACAACAAGCACTCGGTTTGGACGGACCAGAGTGGATGTGTCACATGTCACAACCCGCAGACCAAGCAGGAACTTCCCTGGTGTGGCACCTCCAGCTCCCCAAATACATATCACCTGGAGAAGAAGAAGGACCACATTTCACACATTCATGCAAATGTTTAAAACACAAGAAAGCATTTTACAACACGTCATGATACTACTGTAGTCACACACAGTAGAGAAAAGGCATGACATTCACTCTAATGTACCAACAAGGTCACACCGTGCCAGAACTGAATGAAACATGCCAGATGGTATTAAGTCTGAGTCTGAATGTCTCAGGAGCATTTCCCACCTGGGGGGAAACAAGGGCACCGACACACACGTAGAACAAGAGCTGCGATACATGACTTCATACCAGGCAACTATGCACACAACGTTGCATCACTGTCCTCTGTGGGCAGCAGTGTTGTGTTGAACAAGTCTGACTCTTTTCATTAAATAGGAGAATGCTGCAGGGAGGCTGTAGCTCCTACTGAACACAAGAGGACAAAGTGGGGAACTTGTTTCTTAGAAAAATGGAAAATAATGGACGTCGCTTTGTATTAAGAAGAACATGCATTTTGAGTCAATTAACATAAACGACTTATCTTGGAATGTCATTTTGATATTAAGAAAGTTGAATTTGAAATCACTTAGGCAGCTGACTTCAGCAAGGAAGTGTAAAGAATGACTCACCTCAAAGATACACACCAACACCCTGTAAACCAGAGCTACAGCCATCATCTTCTGCAGGTCCTCCATCGATGTGTTCTCGTCTATCTCCTCCACAATGAAGTGGGTGATAAATTTGGCAATGTCCCTTTAAAGAGGAGATACAGTGTAGGTTGCTGTTAAAGTAATGATGATAACTCTTTGACCATTCACATCCTGCATTTTGAACAACTGTTTTTTTTTTTTAATACTGATAGTAGTACAGATTTCTTAGGCTTCGGTGATTTATCCACTCCTGTTTCCTCTCACCACTGTCTGATTTTTCACTCACTTCATTCCACTCAGATGCATGATCCACAGCACGATGGTGGCCTTCACACAGAACAAGATGAAGAAGTCCACCGTCTCAGCGAGGAACCTCTGGAGAGGAGAAGGGATGGTGTACTCCCGTCCTATACAGCAGATGAATAAACACAGGGAAGTGAAAAAGCTCCTTTTTTTAATATTTCAATAATTTTCTCATTACCTTGTCATATCTACACTCAAAAAAACGACCTTGAATCACAGAGAAGCATAGACAGGGTGTTACTTTCTTCTGATCCACTACAACAACAATGTAAACACTTAGTTTGCCTATAGCAAATAGAATACAATGACCTTTAACTCAATCAACTTAAGCACTTCAATTCCGCTTCAACATTAATGCATGAGTAGGCTACTGAGTTGTTAGCTGTTATTATTTCATTTTTTTATTATGAATACAAAGCAGCTTCTTCCACTACTGCTGATTAGTTAGATTAGTTACTGCTTTACTGAAACTCAGCAGAGGTAACACAACACTCAAGCAAACATGACTCTAAGCATTTAAGCTTGTTTTCACAAGGCCGTTTACTTAAGCCTGCTTTCTAGCAGACTCATGACCTAGCTTAAACAGAATAAAGCCCACACAATATGCTATATTAAACAAAGTAGGCCATTGACCATTAAAACGACTCACTTCTCAATAGAGCCATTAGCCTTACCTGCCTGAGGTGGGTTCCCATTCTGCTGTTGGGCTGTCCGACCATCAGCAGCTGCAGCCGGGGTCGTGGTGGAGCTATGTCCGACCTGGGTGCCATTAAGATGAGGAGAGGATGCAGGGAAACTGAAGGGATAAGGGTAGCTGTACCAGTTTGCAGGGTCGTAAGTCTGCTGCCCCGAGGTGGAGGAAGGTGCTGTTAATGGTCCCGGAGTCTGAGCACCTGTCCCCGGCGGAGGAAAGGGGAGAGCTGTCAGAGCCAGCCAGCTCTGCCAGTTAGCATAACCCCAGTAATACTGCCACATCCACTGCTGCAACTTTGCGCAGTATTCCGTTGTTGCGGTGTCTTCAGGCAGTTTTTCATCTCCTTCAGAACCGCTACGGCGGAAGTGTGTCGTTGTACCCGAAAACATGTCTCGCTAAATTGACAGTCTTTCCTTAATTGACGTAAAAAATCTTTAGCGCGTCTTCAGTAATTCCTCTGAACCGTTCATTAGCACTCCGACTCCACCGGTTACAAGCAGTGTGTTTGTAAATACAGGGGTTTCCGCTACCGAACAACGACTATCGTTACTCTCCGGGTCGGTGTTGGTCTATAAAAATGCCAGTTATTTGAGCTATGCAATAATACGAAATACAAGATATTTTTCTATTTTACCTGTGCTGCAAATATAAACGACATTAAACCATGTTGTGTGAAATACTAATAACTTCCCCCTTCCGTCAATAATGGTATGCACCATTTAAAGGCGCATACTGTGTATTTTGCTAATGTTCAGTAAAAGCTCCATTAAGAGCATAGGCTGTTAACTGCATGATTCATATCTACAAAATCATATATATTCTTACATGTTAATGTTTTTTTTTTTTCAAATATACTGTATGTTTTATTTTTAGTCTTTTAATAAGTACTTTATGATGCATGTTTATTCATTTTACTGTGGCCTGTGTGTATCTTGTCAGATCAAAATTAATAAATGTACCTTGAACAATTTTTAGTCAACCTACTTGTTAGTAAGTAGAGCCTGTTTACTTTAGCAAAATAAAATAAAGGTGTCACTAAAAGAAAATTTAACAGCCTTTGCATTTGTCATATGGGTATTCCATTTGTTGCATTTCAACATATTGTGATTTTAATGTTGAAATAAACTCTCAACATATCTGTAAGTAAGAGTCTTTTTTTTTTTTTTAAAGAATGATAAATTACTTCCTTCCTCTTGGTCTGAACCCAAAGAATTAAGCTTTCTGTTGCACCACAAGAGAGCAGCAGAGGACAATTGATATGATAAAATTCATCAAAAGAAACCACCAGAATCATTTTCATACAAGATTTATGTGTTTTTATGTTGTAACTTATGTTGTGTTATATTGTACAACTGATGTATGCTGAAAAATGTCTTTGCTTTGTTTTGTTCTTTTGCCTTATGGCTTTTTACACATGCAAAATTTGTTTTGTGTTTTATTTTTCTAATTTTGACAAATTAGATGTATATCTCAGGAGGTCAGGGGTCATAGTTTTTGGTCTGCAGTCATAATAATGGTTATTAAGCTCAGTGAAAAATCAGTAGTCTGCCACAGAGGCCACTAGGGTCAAAACTCAGAACTCTGAACGCTGCCGCCGAAACAGTTTTGATTCAAAAGACCTGCCAGCTAGTCAGGTGCTGAAAGGCTATGTTTTCTATGTTCTCCCTCTCTTACACTCTCGTATACACATACAAACACAAAGGGTCTGACTATGTTTTTCCAAGTGCCCTTTTCCTAATGACCCCAACATGCAGAAGTTATCTATTCTTGTCTCTTCTCTCTTCTCCATTTCATCTCTGCTTATACTTACATCTTTCTTTATTTTCTCTACCCTTTTCTTACTTTTCACTCCACCACCCCTCTAATTACTAAAGGGGTGATGTAGTGGGGGGTTGGGGGGGGGGGGGGGTTTTATTTGCTGACTGGGCTGGCCCGGCTCTGTGGGTTAGGTGTTAGGTCTGCCAATTCTAAATGATTGTGCCTGAACCAGTGAATGGAGCCAGTGAGGCGGACACCAATCCGACCCCAATGAACGTTATCCCCACCGACAGAGGCCATACGATGACTGTGCCCAAAAGTAATCAGGCCCAAATAAAAGCTGTGTCCGGCAAAAGCTGACCCCCATAGAACCCGACAACCTGCCGGGATTAATGCTGTGGAGTGGTGTGTGTGTTTCTGTAAGAGTGAGTGTGTCTGCCAGGAGAGGGGCGTTTGGGTGAGCTTGTTACTGTTATTGTGGAAAGTAAGTGAGTGCAGTTATTTCTGAAACAATACAATATGGAACAATACGGTACAGTATGTTGAGTAACAGTTACATTACTGTACTATACGGCACAGTAATGTATGAAACAATACAGTATGATAAGATCTGAATGGATACGAGACGATATAATATGATACGATGTAAGGTATGGTTTAGTTAGGTATGGGACAGTATGCTTCTTTACCATACCAAGCCATACCATATCATATCATACCATACCATATCATACAATACCATACCATACCATACCATACCATACCATACCATACCATATCATACAATACCATACCATACCATATCATACAAAACCATACTATATCATACCATATCATACCATACCATACCATACCATATCATACCATACTATATCATACCATATCATACCATATCATACAATACCATGCCATATCATACCATACCATACTATATCATACCATGCCATACCATACCATAACATACCATACATACCATATCATACAATACCATGCCATATCATACCATACCATACTATATCATACCATGCCATACCATACCATAACATACCATACATACCATACCATACCATACAATTCCATACCATATCATACCACACTATATCATACCATACCATATCATATCGTACTATACTATATCATACCATACCATATCTTATCATACCATATCATATCATATCATATCATATCATATCATATCATATCATATCATATCATTCCATACTATATCATACCATACCGTACCATACAATACTATACCATATCATACCATACCATACCATATCATATCATGTCATACTATACTATATCATACCATACCATACCATATCATACCATACCATACCATGCCATGCCATGCCATGCCATATCATGAAATACCATACCATACCATGCCATGCCATGCCATGCCATGCCATATCATACAATACCATACCATACCATACCATACCATACCATACCATACCATACCATACCATACCATACCATACCATGCCATGCCATGCCATGCCATATCATATCATATCATATCATACTATATCATACCATATCATATCATACCATATCATACCATACCATACCATACCATACCATTCCATACCATACCATACCATATCATTCCATACCATACCATACTATGTCATACAATATCATACAATACCATACTATATCATACCATACCATACCATACCATATCATACTATATCATACTATATCATACAAAACCATACTATATCATACCATACCATATCATATAACACCATACCATACCAAACCATACAATACCATACTATATCATACCATACCATACCATACCATACCATACCATACCATACCATACCATACCATACCATAATATATCAAATCATATCATGCCATACTATATCAAACCATACCATACCATACAATACCATATCATACCATACCATATCATACCATACCATACCATACCATACCATACTATATCATATCATATCATACCATACTGTATCATACCATACCATACCATACCATACCATACTATATCATACCATACCATACATACCATACCATATAATACAATACCATACCATACCATACCATACCATACCATACCAGATCATGCATGCCATGCCATATCATATCATACCATATCATACCATACCATACATACCTTGCCATGCCATACCATACCATACCATATCATGCTATGTCATACCATATCATACAATACCATACTATATCATACCATACCATACCATATCATACTATATCATACTATATCATACAAAACCATACTATATCATACCATAACATATCATATAAGACCATACCAAACCATACAATACCATACTATATCATACCATACCATACCATACCAAACCATATCATATCATATCATATCATAATCATATCATACCATACCATACCATACCATACCATACCATACCATACCATACATACCATATAATATCATACCATACTATATCATACATACCATATCATACCATACCATACCATACCATACCAAACCATATCATATCATATCATGTCATACCATACTATATCATACCATACCATACCATATCATATCATATCTAACCATACCATACAATGCCATGCATGCCATGCCATGCATATCATGAAATACCATACCATACCATACCATACCATACCATACAATCATACCATACCATACCATACCATACCATACCATACCAGATCATGCCATGCCATGCCATGCATGCCATGCCATATCATATCATACCATATCATACCATAACCATACCATACCATACCATACATACAATACAATACCATGCCATGCCATACCATACCATACCATATCATGCTATGTCATACTATATCATACAATACCATACTATATCATACCATACCATACCATATCATACTATATCATACTATATCATACAAAACTATACTATATCATACCATAACATATCATATAACACCATACCAAACCATACAATACCATACTATATCATACCATACCATATCATATCATATCATACCATACCATATAATATCATATCATATCATATCATATCATATCATATCATATCATATCATACCATACCATTCCATACCATACAATACCATACCATATCATGCCATACCATATCATATCATGCCATACTATATCATACCATACATACCATACCATATCATATCATACCATACCATGCCATACAATACCATACTATATCATATCATACCAACCACATCTTATTATACCATACAATACCATACCATACCATACCATATCATACCATACCATACCATACATATCATGCCATACCATATCATATCATGCCATACTATATCATACCATACATACCATGCCATACTATATCATACCATACATACCATATAATATCATATCATACCATACTATATAATACCATACCATATAATATCATACCATACTGTATCATACCTTACCATATAATATCGTACCATACTATATCATACCATACCATATCATATCATACCATACCAAACCATACAATACCAGACTATATCATACCATACCATATCATATCGTACTATACTATATCATACCATACCATATCATATCATACCATACCAAACCATACAATACCAGACTACATACCATACCATATCATATCATATCATATCATATCATGTCATACCATACTATACCATACTATATCATCTATACCATACTATACCATACCATACCATACCATACCATACCATACCATACTATAGTCAACCATATCATACCAATCATACAATACCATACCATACCATACCA